GGCGGTTTCTCCTGAGCCGAACAGCAGCCGCCGGTTTCTGAGGCAAAATTGCAGCGTGTCGTTGCCCGTGAATAGTCCTGCCTGGTCCTGCTCCCGCTCCCCTGCTGCTGGCGTTCCCGGGGGCTGCGCCGGTGCTGCGGCTCCCTTTGACTGGTTTTGGCTAATAAATGATGCCGATAGATTTAGGGTTTATAGTACTACATCTTGCAATCGAAATTCTGTATGTTATATACCCTTTACTGATCAGACCCCATGTGTCAGTTCATCGAGCAGAGGAGTCCCATTGCTTCGTTAACGTGAAAAATTGAGGTAATTCTTCGGCATTACTGGGTTTCCAAGTGAAGGGAGAGATGCAAGGGCACGCAAAAACTGCAACAGCGACTGAATGCTTTTAAACTTTATTGTTTTAGACACATAGGCTGAAAAAATACTATGCATTCCCAATTGTCAATTCATATTAAACAAGCATATACATTTGGTTATATTATTACTGGTTTAAAATAAAAAAAGAAACCATTACAGAAAGACTGCTGCATCTTCAGAGAACTTTGCAACAATTTTTTCGTAGAAGATTGCTAAAATCAATCTCGGGTTCCAATATTCCTTTGGTCGTTATTTTATGTATTTATTTTTTTAAAAAAACATGTTTAGTATAAGCACGCATTCTGAACGACTTCATACCAATTGTGAGGACAGTGCTGGAGTAACAACGGATTTTATAAAAGAGCTTTTATTGTACGTCAGTCCACGAGAAAATCTTACAAGCAGTTTTGAGAAATGTGACAATTTAATTCTTTACAAAAGTGTCCATAGATGCCTTTTTGATATACATGCTAATATACCAAAACTGAAAAATCTTTAATTACAGTTAAGATTTTTTTTTACACAAATGTGTATGTTCTATTTTAGCCCCTTCACTTTCAGTTGAAAATAGAATAGGCAACGCTTACGAAAATGCCTCATTTGTTCGCTGCTTGTACTTTGCTAAAATACATAGCGAAAAGCTGAAGCGAAGGGCTTAAAGGGGCTCTAAGATGCCTCAGGAAACACTTCATTTTGGAACAATTCCAGGGATCTAAAACTTTTTCCCTCCCAGACTACAAGCATCCAGATTTCTCCTCCGAAAAGCATAGCCTCAGCTTCATCATTTAACGGGAGTAAAGGTGGTGTAGAAACCATTGAATGTGCAAAGTACCGAAGAACGTTAATTCCAAGAAGAAACAAAGATCTAATTCTGATAGCTCTTCTTTCCACAGACAAAACCAAAGTGAGCTAGAGATACAAAAAGTACGCAGGTAGAATTGCCTCTAAATAAAACCCTTTTCCAAATTTTCTGTAAGGCATCAAGAGGTCTTTAAGTAATCTGTTACCATGCAAAAATAGTATATTCTTTCCCAGTTTACATTCATCTTGTAGCAGTTTATTTACACATAGATCACCAGTTTGTGCTTTTAACACACAGAAAATAAAAAATTCTATAGCTAATTTGTTTCATTCCAGAAGATTTAAGTCAGGTTATTTTCTGTTATATGCAAGAACTTCGTATTCATGGCAAAAAATGACACTGGACTTCACTGATGCTGATATATACCTACTAACAGTGATGACAGATTGCAAAATAGTACTTTTATCAATAACCAACTCACCATCTCTCTCTCACCTGATGTGCGTCAACCATTTTAACCTGCAGATGTGCCTTTCAGGACAGAATAATGCCGTGTATTTCCTGCCAACACGGGGTTAAGACTGTCTGGCACGGCTTCTGCTCACACTCGTGTGCGTCTTTGACCATTTCTGTGGCAGAACGGTATTTTCTCTGTGCAACATATTGAGCAAAGCACATACAAAATATATAACTAAGCAATATTCTCTTCCTGGAAAAATGGATTTCATTCTGGTTTTCAGATATGAGCACTGGAGACAGTCTTCCAGTGATTTCACAGGCTTAGCACCAGGCCCAGGAAGAACCTCCCATATTTGAAATGTCCCAGGAGACAGTAACTCAGCCCGCAGCACGCCGACTGCAGTGTAAGCCTTCGGGGGAGAGGGTGCAAAACTGCTCTGTCTCAAAAAAACCTCAAAACTTGGCTGCCAAAGGCAGCGGTGCTTTTGTGACACCGAGTAACAGCCCCGTCGCAGGGGCCTAGACTGCGACCACGCACTGATCCTGCCGGCAACGGCAGACCGGAGCTGTGCTCATTTCGGTGGGCTTGCTGTATTTTTTCATTAATGGATTGCGGAACGAACCCCCAGATGACAGGGATTAGTTAAAACCAGTCACCCTGAAGCCGCCAAGAATAGGGCTCTTCACAGAGGAGGGTAACTTGCATTGCCACTTATGCAACGGCACTCAAGTCTCAACTCTTTCAATAAGATGAATATTAGAAATTAATTTTTTAATTAGTTATCTTGAGGAAAGAAAAAACTGGTTATTGGACAGCCCTGGGGATTTTCCCTCAGTAAAAGGGGAAACAAGAAGTGTTTCTTGTACTCTTGGCCACAAGAAGTATTTCAGTTTAAGAAAGCTCAATGCAAAACAAACATTCCTGGAATTCGAAGAGCAGAGTGTTTGTGTCTAGCTCACGCACACACGTGTCTTCTTTTCAAGTTTTAATCTCTTACAACATTGTTATGATTATGGTGAGAGAGAGCGACCTGCAGGGGAAAATCTGATTATACAAGCAAGTATTAAAGAGAGCTTTTAGTTTATTTATACAGCTTTTCACAAGTTCTGAAAGTATTCACACTTTTGCTGTGACAACACAATTTCTCCCCAGTTTTGCACCATCCTAGGGTGGCCAAGTCTGTATTTTTTCCTTTCTTATTCTTTTGGTGTTCGTATCTTTGGCTCTAGTGCATCTGACATTTTGCATCGAATACCAAAAGAAGAATACAGCTATATTATTGAGCATTATATACGTAAAAATAACAGCCATCTAAGCCATAAACAAACTCATATTGGGATCTTCTATACCTATACAAAGTCAGAGTTTAGTTGTCTAGAAATCTGAAATCATCTTAGAAGAAAAGTAAATTAAATTCATGTGGTAGAAAAAGGTCAGTGGAAAATAGCTCTTCTGTACTTCTTTAGATGACGGGGGTTTTTTTATTTTATTTTAAAAGTATGTCGCATTAAAACAGACAGGAAATTGTACTGAATCTAATTCTTCATTGCTTTGAAGCATGCGTGTGTAATGACTGTCTTTTGGCTGATACAAACAGGAGATGAACTAGACTCCGCAGAGATGAAAATCCTTTATGACTTGACCTAAAGAGCCAGATTTTATAGATTAATTCCTATCCTCTGTAGACATGGCAGACGCAAATTCCCCAGGGATGCTGTTGCTGTGTACACTGGTGAAAGATGAATGTACAATACCATCAGATCACAGTAGCGGTATTTCTTATTTGCTTTGGAGTGATGTGAGTCATTGCACTGGAATCAAATGAAGAATCAGGCGCAAAAAGGTCCTTCCACATCTGATAAATCAAATCGCTATGTTCTTTATATGAGTGATTATGTTAGCTGATACGGTTCCCTTTGTATCATTTTGTTCTGAAATTACTGCAATAAATCAGTCTGGTTGTAACACTAACTCATTAATTCAATTTATTTCATTTTGAAGCATGCAATGGAATTTCAGAGAGAAAATAAGAGATTATTTAGATTAAAAACTTAAACTTTTAGCTTCAAAAGTCTACAGTGGAGTCCAGTTTAAGAGAAAAAATAAATGTGCTTTCATTGTCCTAGCACAGAAGATCTAGCAGGCACGGTTCCATGCTAGTATGCACTGGTGCAACAAACAGCAGCTATTAAAATACACATACATATTTAGGACCCTGTTTAGCAGAAGGAAGCCACCAACAGTCCAAGTATTCAAGCGACCTGACATTACCGTCTTCTCCTTGTTTTGTACCATGCTTTGGATCAGGAGAGAGCTCTCGAGTCTGCTCCTGTTCCACATGGGACTTGTCCCCTTATCCAGACCACTTGCTGTTCATTCCAGAGAGGCCGCTGGAAGTGACGGCAGCGGGGACCGAGGCTTCCGGAGGTCTGACCGTGGAGACGTTTTTTTAGCAGGCCTTTCTGCAACCACGTCCAATGTTCTACCGTACCACGACACCTTACAACAGCAACGGCTAACGCAGCCTTCCGCCCATCCCTGTGGGCCTTTTGGAGCAGCATTTGTTCCTCCTCCACGGCCAGCCGAAGGATGCCCTCCACTGCTGCATCTCAGGCTGGCCTTTCTCCCAAACCAATTCGTTTTGCTAAGCCCCGTTCAGAATCGCAGCTTGTACCTCGTGCGCCGTTTCTTTAGCACTGTTTCTGAAAGGGAGTTAGTCCAACTGGACTACGCGGTATTAGCAGCATGTAAAGTAATAAATTAGGGACCGGGAGCGTATGGGTTAACGTGAACTCCCACAGAAAGCCGCCACAGAGCCAGCGATGCTTCTGCAACCTTCTCAGTTTGAGTAGTTCAGATGTCCGTGAGCGTACTGCGCTGAAGGAGGCCCTAATGTAAAACCAGCATGCCATGTATGAATGGAGTTCGGATGAAAAGGAAATAGAGGGAATTCTATCCTATCGCTTCCTAAGCTGTTCTTGTAATTTCAGGGCAATATTAATCCCTTAGATGTAATATACTAATAGGTCTATTAAGTACAAGTAGCAGGAGATTCATTCCCACTTCTATTCTGGTTGTTAGTTAGGTCATTAATGATTAAATCAAACCAATGTAATTTATGTCCTGGAAAATATAAAAACTATCACTTTATATATAAACCAATATCCAGCTTGAAGTTCCAGATCAGGGAAAACAGACTTTCACCATCAATCGCTGATTGTTTGAGGTAGACCACATTATTGAATTACCCACAATTTTAGTTTCTAATGTATTAGGTTATATACAATCAAATATCAACAGACGTACCTGAAATTTTCCCTATTTTCATTAGAAATGTTTGTGGTTATTAATAAGGTAAGTTTCCATAATTTACTCAGTCATAGATTGAAATGTCTGTATATTTTGTGGCAATTTAGCATACTTCTTAGTACTACCCTACTGTGTACATAGAGTAAAAAATGAATTGTATCACCCCTGATGGAAAAAAGAAGGAAAATTATGGTTAGTGGTGAAATCCTAGAACAATGCAAGGCTCAAATGTAAGATTCAGATGCTTATCCATTTCAGTTGTGCCCTTCTGGCTCTGTACTTTTGAGTGTTATTCTAATATTGCTCCGAAGTCCATTATGCAGAACATTCTTCCCGTGGTTTCAGATGGAGATGCTTGAATATAGCTCTTCTATTTGTTTTTTGAAGTAATCTCTTAGTTCTGGTCTCTTAGCCTTTAACGTTGGTGTCAGCAAACCGTTTTGTACTGAGAACATATCAGAGTGAATGTAAATGGCTTTGACCTAAAATAAAAAAGGGATATATTTATAGCAAAAATTACAGGCATCACACTGAATAAGCGTAACTTCTTACACCAGCCTTGCTGTGGTTGCCTCTGGCTGTGCCTGGAGCCCAGGGGACCCTTCCACTGTGTCCCCAGAATTTTCCTCATGTGCCCAAGTCTTCCAAGGTGACACTAAATCCCTCCACCACCCCTCACCACTCCCTGCTCTCCTGCTTGTTTTCCCGCGTCCGCGCTGACCCGACAGCCAGCCAGCGCAGAAGGGAGCTCTCGGGCAGAATGAGCACATAAACGTCTTTTCCATATGAAACCAAGGCCAAAACACAGTGAGGCGGAGCGCGAGCGTCAGTATCGCCATATGTGATATTGTAACTGCAGAGTTTCACACGGTTGAAAGACTACGGGAGCGAGGGGAAGGGAGGGAGGGCAGGGAGTCGTGCTAAGAAACATCATCTTAACCGAACTGCAAAAGAAAGTAAGCAGCCCTAATTCGGTCTTGCAAAATTATCATGAAGCTTTGCAGGTACAAAGAACGTACATGATGATCATCTTTAAAGAAGAAGAATTGATGGTGTTTTACTAGCTAGTTAAACGACATGAAATCGTTCAGCCTGGGCAAACAGGATTTTACAAGGCTGCCCTTGTTAACGGCGGTGTCTCTGAGCACAGCAGGGAGCCTGGCGGCACAGATGGGAGCGAGCTTTTCCTTCCAGTGCATTTCTGGGAGTGCTGGTGTGGGAGAAAGCAAAAAACTGCTGCGTGACTGGTCATAGTCCACCAATTTAAGACAAAATTCCCCAGCCACCTGCTGCTTTCGTGATTCCCCAAACCAGACTGGTTTGCATTTTGATAGACTGGGAGTTGCAGAGATATAGACTGAGAATCAATTTTTAAATTCCCATTAGATGTGTGATTCATTTTTCCCCTGTAGTCATTGTGGTCTAGTTCCTCCCCTAGTGACGTCCTTCACAAAATCAGCGTTCGTGCTATTAATGCTTCCCCCGCTTGCTGCACTGGCTTTCAGAGCCTGCACCCTGGAAGCTGTTGGTTATAGAAGCCAGAGTTGTCATTTCCAAGCCAGAGGTCCGAGCTCAGGCCACCGGCGCTGCAGACAAGGACGGGGATGGCAGAGAGTGGCTCTTCCATATAAAGGGGATCCCATCCCACAAGAGCATCAGCCGTAATATCTGGCTCAAAGTTCGGGTTTAAGATTACGTATTGCAAGAGAGATGTTAATTTTGAAGCCCTTCAGTTTTGAAATGCAAAACATTTCTTCTTAACTTTTAGAAAGATGGCAAGGCTTTCCTCGCGACTTTATTAATTGCAGACTGCTGGTAGACTAGATTACCTGGGGGTATGTCATGCTGCGAAGACTGGCAGGAGCAAACCAGACTGACTACCACAGACGATAACGTGCATTACAAACCGTGCTTTATATTGAATTTCATTTTTAAATTAATTTCTTTTTACTATCATTTCATTAGCATATGTAACTGAGAAATGAAGAATAACAAGTTTATGTTTAATGGTGCTTCTGCTGCACTCAGATATGGTGAATTACTCATGAGAATTACCACCCAGAAACAGTCTAAACAAAAGCAACAAGGCCCTTGCTAATTATATGTAATGATTAAGATGTTCATTATTTTAACAGAAATAAGCATTTGACATTTTAAAATGTGGTGGATTTATTTTTAATGTGTTTTTAATGCTGTGTAATCCATGGTTGATTTCAGATCTCTCCTTCTGAAGTGTTTGTAGCTCTGTTGCAGAAATATTTACACAAGCACCAGCAAAGAATTAATGCACAGGCTGAAAATAAGTAAACCAGCAGCATTTCCTAGGTCAGTTATAAGAATGGTAATTAGTGACCCAGTTTCTTAACAATGCTTTCAGTGGCAGAAGCATCAGAGTCCTACAGATATTTATCGTGACCCCTGGTTGTCAGACTGGAGATTATCCGTGTCCCTGGATTAGATTTTTACCTCTGCACACAGAACTTTCACCAAACTGAATTCAAATTTCAAGCATGAATGGAAGGCAGAATCGCAGCGTATGTATTTTTCAAAGGAACAAATACAACTTGCCAGCAATAAAGCACGCTCTCAGAAAACACTGTGTGCAGCTGCACATCCCCATTCAATACAAATGGACAAACTGCCTGTCTGACCACGCTGAATAATGTATTAATTGTTTCATTTTACCTGCTCAAAGGAATGAAGTCCGCTCTCCTTACCTAACCGTACCATGTCTTCCATTATCGCTTGCTGCAGTTCCTGGGTTAAGACACATAAGTTCCTCATGAAACATCAGCGTCAACCTTACATGCAATTAATGTCATTGTTCATCAGGAAAACGTTTCTGAGTGAAGTTCAAGTGCCTTATTGGTAGTTAATACATAATTAGCAAATATTCTATTAAAGAAACGTACAAACATTAAACTTAAGTGTGGTGATGTTAACTCTTTCCTCAGTATGAAAAGTAAGGTTATATTTTCAAACGCGTATGACATAGATGCTTAAATTTGCAATCCTTCAACCATTTGCCAGAGTTCGATGCATAATTATTTCCCACAGATACCAGTGGCATGACTCACTGGCATCAGTGTTCATTGATATGATGCAACTCAGTTACTCAGTATTAGAGAGCCTGTGTAAATCAGGCTGGAATCCTTATTTAAGGCACCTAAACAAACACAACCTCTCCTACTGCCACGCTGTTGTTCTCTGCAAGACAGACCCTTGGTCCCCCCATGGAGGAGTCTGCAGAGGTCTGTACCATCAGTCAGCACACATCCCTGTATCCAGGCCAACCCTGCTTCATTTTCAGCGAGGAAATAATTCTTGACGCTGAGATCATTAATAATAGACACCTACTCCAACTAGGTTATGCTACAGTGAAAAAATATCTGTACTGCAGATAGATACAAAGACAAACCTTATTTTTACAGAGTTCTGCGTATGTTCCATCAAACCCTCTTTTCTTTGCCCAGCCTGGCATAACTTCGGAATCAGGCACCACAATTCCCACCAGAAAGGCCTGTAGGCGAAGGAGAAGGAGAGTTGCAGGCAAAGGCTGAACGACATTTAAGGCCCTACACTGAAGCGAGTACAGAAGCTGGTTGAATTTGCTACATGTTTATCACTTCGTGTTTAATTATGTCGATAATTTGCGAACGTGTCGTAGTGAAGTATATTTCCGTGTCTGTGCCTTTCCCTCAGATAAAATGGTTCTCTGTGACTGTTCCTGCATTTGCCAACAATTTTAACACCTTCAGTTGGGTTCGTGGTCTGCCTGGACATTAATTACATTACTTAAATTTTTCACAGGCATGAGTCAGAGCCGAACATAGCTCATATCATGCAAACTCCAACGCCAAGGGAAGCCTCATGTTTGTGACCAATGAATGCAGAGGGATGAATTGCAATGGTTTCAGAAGCTGTACGCGTTTGTATAAATACATGAATAAACAGGACAAGATTGGTCAAAACGGGTAGGCAGCGGCTGTGGAGCAGCAGTGGCTTTGCCTTCGTCTGGCTTACTGCAGGTAACATGGCAAAGGAGAGTGTTAGAGACCCAACGGGTGACACTGAAGCAAATTTAAAGGCTTGATCTTTGGCCAAAACATCCTCCAAGCTGCTTAGGGTCACACCGGCAACTCAGCTCCTGCGTGGCTGCCAGCCAGCTCCAGAACAGGAGGGAGGGAAGGAGACAGGGCAAAAATGGGGCATGATCCACTCACGCTTTCCCCTCGTTCATGCCCAGCTCTCTGTCTTCTATTTACAAAGAATAAGGTAATATTTTCTGAAAACTTAGTTTTTACCTGCAGGCTGTCTCCATGGACATAGATCTGGGCAACAGGGTCACTGCGGATATAGATATTCTCTATCTTCTCTGGTGCAATATATTCTCCCTGAGCAAGTTTAAATATATGCTTTTTCCGATCAATAATTTTAAGAGTCCCATTCTGTTAGGAGAAAGAAATGAGAGTTCCCAGAGAAATTATTTAACCACAGAGACTCAGTAAGCAGTCTGCTTTTAACAGAGCTCTTTAAATTGCCAGAAAATGCTTCACTGACATATCGAGTTTATTCTGCAAAATATAAATGTAATCCTCTGTAAAGATAGATCTGCTTGGAAATTTAAGTTCAGTACTTGAAAATTTACATGGGATAATACAATTGGCATAAGAACTACGCATCCGATCAGTACGCACAGGTAACCATTTCCCAATGTCTCCAGTGTGAAGCCAGCCCTCCTGGTCCAGCGCTTCCGTTGTCTTCTCTTCATCTTTCAGATAACCTTTGAAAACATTCGGTCCTTTCACGCATATCTGCAAAACAGTCAGAGTTGCTGATAAATTATGTTATTATTCTGCTGTAAATACTAACAAACTACAGAGTAATTCACTAAAATTGAAATATTTTAAAGGTTGACTTAATGACTCTGCTCCATGAAACTAAAATATGTTGTGTTATAAAATTACCTATGGATTTTTTTCAAACTAATGGAAGTATGAAGTAGGGACTGCAAACCCGATTTGTTTGAAGTTGGTTTGCATTCAGCTTGCAGTTAAAAAAAGTTATTTCAATAAGTTTAATTTCTGTGCAATATAGAAATATCAGCAATGTAGAAATCGCAGCAATTCAGTTCTTCTTAGCTGAACTAATTAATTCAGTCTTAGCTTTTAAGGTAACCAGGCATGGCATTGGCTGGAAGTACTGCCACAGCCCCTTTTTAATTAATGCTTTGCTGCTCTACTGCTGAATTGACGTTTTCCTTTCCTGATTGTAATATGTAACACATCAGCAGCCATGCACCTTACAAAGGTAAAATGCTTTTGTAACTACATAACTACTTAATACAGTGTTAATTAGTGAGAATTTGATACAGAAATGTGATTTGCTACCTCTCCTTCTCCTTTGGAAGCAAAATAATTCAGCTCTTCCACATCCTTCAATCTGATTAAGTTACAGGGCAAAGGGGCTCCTACATGACCTGGAAATCAAAGTTATCAAGTCACTTGTCATCTTTCCTATAAACAAAAGTTAGCATTTTATTATTAGTTGCTTGCATAGTTGTAGATACAGTGGATGTTCTTGCAGGAGCTGTGTCTGTGTGCAGAAATAATTTCTTCATTTAAGGTTTTGCACTACTAAGACTAAATACCCAAACCTCCTCTTTGGATATACAAAATGCCTATTTTCAAACATGTTGAAATACAGACCACGTCTCCCTTACCTGTAAGAGGCTAAACCCTTTTCTAAGCTTAACTTGTTGTAAAAGCACTCAAAGCTCTGGACCCCCGTTGTTTTAATCACCGGGGAATACCAACTGCAGCGCCATTACGCTGAACACGTTTCCCCCCACCCCTACGGTTTCTCCAAAGCTGAAGCGAGGGCAACGTCTGCTGTAGCCACCAAGCACTGCTAGAGCACTGCGGTGTTCAAAACAGGCCTATTTTCCCCAGAAAGAGCCACTAGGAAAAACGGACTGGAAAGAGGAGTCACAGCTCCGTGTGACAGCACATCGTGCGCCGTAGCTCTCGCGGGCCGAGGTCTCATTTTGCAAAGGAGCCGGATCGAAGCGCACTGAGGATGAGGACGAGGATGCGGCGCTGGCACGCGAGCGGTGCTTTGCCCAGGGCTGGCCAGGGCACGGGCAGGGGGCCGGCGGGCAGCGAGCCCCAGGACGCACCAGTGTCTGCAAGGGGCTGGTTTTGGTTTGAAGAAAACCGAACGGATGGCCACTTGTGCTGGGAAAAGAAAGCACGTGCTCTTCTCCGGCCACGGAAAATCCAGGTTGGAAAGAAGGAAATGTTTAACTGGCCAGACCCATTAATATCTGATGTCCAGGTTTCCTACTAGTATTCATTTGAATGAGTATGACAACCATTTCAAAACATTTTTATAAATACTGATGAATTATATGAAGAAGAAATTAAGCTGCAGTATTTGTGTGTATTATCTGAATCTAGCTTAGTGCTAATTTTTATCTGATTTTGTCAAGATTCAAAAGTTTTGAAAGCCTGAAATATATAAAGTATTGAGTAGTGGTGGATCTGTATGCAAAGCCTGAGTTTGCTAACTAGGTACGTGAAATGTATTAATCTTTTCTTTGTTCCAACATTTCATTATAACAAACATTCTTTTAAATTCAGCTCCAGTGCTCTAGAGAGGACTCACAGGGCCGGGAGCGCAGAGATGAGAGTATCGCAAGTAACAGCTCAAGGGACAATTCCAAGTCTCCCCAGGCAAACCTGCCCAACGTCTGATCCCTGTGTACTTATTCTGGACTAGCGGCACTTTCAAGAACATTACATTTGCTGAAGATTATTCACACGGTGGCGAATGTTGCCTAACACCCTGTGATGTCGCAGCCCAGAATTTTCAAAAGAAGTGCGCGTTTCTTTTCTTTCTGGAAATGGTGGAAGAAAATCGTTACCTGATGTCCAGTCACCTGGGGTCGTAAAGGTGCATCCAGCTGTGCATTCTGTTTGGCCATAACCTTCATAAACCTGACAAAGAAACAGCTGTCTTTAAAGCAGTATATATTATTTCACTTATTAGAGAATAAGGTTCTAAGAATTGCCTTCCGTTGCACAGTCCTGCCAGCTGCAACGCACAGGCACACATTTCACACAGGGACACCTTCCCTGGCTCTTACTGTATACAAAATTTCATTTACACGACTGTGAATTCCCACGGCTCTGTAGAGCTGAAAATAGTGAGAAGACAAGTTCAGCAATTAGCTTTTGAGTCAAGAAGGACATTACTCTACCAGAGGAATTTATTAGTGGGGAGAAAAAAAAAGTCTTTTTGTGGGTCATCTTGAAAAAACACCTTTTAATTTTTTTTGCCTAATTTTAGGCTCTTGAATGAGGCCTTTTAGTTGCCCTGGGCTTCCTAGTCAAAGAGAAATAACGCAGTGGACATCTCAAGTGGGTTAAATTGCCATCTGAAGATTATCTTTCTCTATTTCTACATAGAATAAAAACTCGTGTAACGAAGTTCCTAGCGCATGCACAAGCACGTTTAATTGCACGTACTCCATTAAGTGCCAAGAAACAGGTGGGATGAGTCTATGCTTTTTTTTTTTTGGCAGCTGCCCGCAGCGAAAGCAGCGCTCACTTCCCAGGGCCACCGGTCGTTCCCGCTCCAGCCCCACGGCTGCGGGAGGCCGGGGACACCGGGGGGGCCCCGGGGCCCCTGCGTCTGCCCCAAGCCCTGCAGCTGCCGTTGGATCGATCCCGGTAAAGCCGTCCCAAATGCAGTTCCGAGCTCCTAACCCATCCCCTTTCTTAAATGCAGTGCGTTTCCTAACTAACAGTAAATGAACACCTCCCAACAGCCGCGCGAGCCTACCTGACATCCGAGGGCCGCACGGAGGAAGCCCAGGACAGTCGGAGACGCAGGGGCAGCCCCTGTTACTATCATGCGAACGCACCCACCGAGACTCGCCTGTTTGACAGCGGGAGAAAACCAAAAGAAAGCATCACAGATCATTACAGATGGCAGGAATGGCAGCGCCCGTGAGCGTTGCTTAGACAGAGCTCGCACAAAATGCTCTCTCTAGAATAGATGCCGCCGTGCTGAGGAAATATGAACTGGCCCTGAATCTTTCCTTAGGGATGAAAAGCCAGCTAAAGCTTAAAAGCAATAACTGTCCCCCTCACGGGTAGAAATAGTGCCCCAAGACAAAAAAAACCCCATTCGACGTACGGGGGCGGGAGTCCCACATCTCTCGGAGGATGGGCCGCTCGGTCTCCACTCCTGCGGCTGCTGCGCCTGGGCAGGCTGCAGACCTGCGGGGAGGCAGCCGTGGCCTGCAGGGAGCACACATGGCTCTGGGGAGCTGTTGGGTAAAAACCAGACCCTTCCCCCCTCCAGTTTTCTTTGCTCATTTGCACCGCGTTGTTTTTAATGAATTGGCTCCCCAGCCATCTGAAACAACGCTGTCCCTTTTTTAAAGCAGGTGACCTTCAAATATTTGTGGAGGGTATTACATCAATTCCTGTGTCGCATTTTACTTCTTTTTTCCCCTTTCATTTCCTTTTTCTTATTCCAAAAGTAAAAAGAAAACCCAGCACAAAAGAAAACAACTCCTGATTGAGTCTGCCAGTCTCGCCAGATCCTGAATCAATATGCAGCCTGGCTTGCCTCATGTCTGCGCTCCCGTCAGCATCGTGTGAATTCTGCTATCTTTGCAGACTGAGGACAACTAATCCGCATACAAAAAGTACAGTCAGTTTCTTTAGTTAAAAATAAAGCAGCGTGTCTCCAGATAAGTTATCCAATTAAAAAAAATGAAGTAATCAGAGCCTCCTGGAGTAGTACAGGGCCTGGAAAAACTGGTTTAAAGCCAACTTAATCTTTTTTTCCTGAGGAGATATGTGGCACACAGCAGGGCATTCTGATTTCTTTCCCCTGTTGTTAAATCGTGATTTACTTGTGCATTTTTCTCTACACCCTTATTCTTGTTTTCTTAGGAAAAAAACCAGTTTTGAATATGCCCAATTGAAACCTGCCCCTAAATCCAATCATATCTATAGAGAATTTGCAGAAAACTTGGGAGCAACGTCTCTTTGAGAACACTCCTCTTTTCATGACCACCTTCCCGACTTTCATCCCCACTGGGAGGGGACAGGAGTGGGTTTAATGCTATCCTCTCCCCTGCCTGTTGCTGGGCGTGAGCGGGGAGAAACCATTTACCCGTGGGGCACGGGCAGGGCCCGCGGCGGGGGCCCAGTCCCCACAAGGCAGAGCACCCAAATACCAAAGGAGGTGACAGCAGCCCTGGTGTCGGGGGCTACGATCCTGCTTCTGGACAACTTCACCTGGCAGAGGGCAAATGCCTCCGCACTGCACCACGTCCCGCCTTGGTGCCTGTGCAGGGCCACAGCTTGTACCCAAGAGGTCCGAAAAATAGGCACTATTCTGCAAATAGGTGATTTCTCGGTGCTGCCGAAGGAGGGATGTGGCAAAAGTTAGGCTGCCTTGCGTTTCTCCCTTCCCCTCTGGAAAACTATCCCTAATGGAAGTGAAATTTTGGCATCTTATGCATGGTGTTTAAAAATAAATACATAAATAAATGTAGCAAAAGTTAATGCAAAAGTTAGTGGAACAAACAACTGTGCTCCATATCCTTTTTCTATTCACATTTTCAGTCTGCTGTTCGCCAGTGAGTAGCAATTGCCCACAGTTCATCATCAGGCACATGGACCACACTGACTTTAAGGAAAACCAGTCGCTGCTAGAAGAAATGACAGTTCTTCGACTTTAGACTCACTTCTTAAATTCCTTACCTGTATTTTATTAAAGAAAAGTTTATCCCACAAGCTGTCATTTCTAATGATCCCGTTTCGGACTTCAGCCTTTTTCCGTCTTGCAGCAAATTCCAGGATCCAGCGCTTGAGGGACGTGTCTGCCTGGCTGAAGATCTGCGGGAGGGCAGGGTGGCAGGCAGCGCGGCACCCGAGAAACAGAAAACATCAACAGCTTGTTCTTACAATTACAGCTGTACAGTTCTGCCAGTGCCAGGTAGGGTATAGTTACATTAGCAATACAGTTAAGTATTGCTTACAGTGTAGTAAGACTACACTACGGCTTTTTTAATTGGATTAAAAAAAAAAAAAAAGGAGCGGTTTGTTTCTCTCCATTCACTATTGTACATACTGTTCCTTCGGGGGAAGGAGGAGAGAGGATGATAGGGTAGGCTTTGACTAGATTTACATGACTGCTATTTCTATATGATTTCTACGATAGGATTCAGTGAAATCATGCAATCTGAGCAACTAGGAATGAGCAACGCGAATACTTGGCAGCTAGAGCAGGTATCAGCGCTGGCTGATGAGATGACGGGGGCTGCGTTTACCTAAGCTTAATCAGACACCAGCATGAACTACATCTGTACTAATGAGAACCCGCCGGTGCCCATCCCTCTAATGAGGCACCAGAACCCCTGATCCAACAGTCCCGACCTTGGGGAAAAATTAAATCAGTAGCTTGTGCTTAAGCCCATCTTTAGGGGATAAGTCTTCTGAGGAATAAATATTCCCAGCTGGTCAAACAGATCTAACATGATGACCAGACGTGTCTGTCTTAAATGCTTTTCAAGACCATCTCAGTTTTAAAGATTTCCAGATCCAAAAGCCAACCTCACATTTACGCTGCCTAAGTCCTCGTAGTCTTTTTGCAGTTCCTGATTTTGAGCTGTCATTGCCACCAGAAAGAGAGACCAGTTCCAAAACTGGTTGAAGGGCACACAAAGTCCTAGTGCGTCCAGGTTTGACTGGCGTTTCTCTGATGAAAAAAACCCCTCGTCTCTGGCAATATCGCTAGTAACCTCAGTGAGAACAGGGTAAGGGACTAACGCGGAGGGATTTCACGTCCGTATGCAATAGCCGTGTCTGCAGTCTGCGTAAATCAACATAATACAGACTTACAGACTGGAGCAGCTGTATCAGTTACACAGGATAAGAATGCGTTTGCAGCAAGGCAGAAACAGTATGACCTGCTCAGGAAATCACCGTGATAAGGGAATGCTTTCACATAAGTACTAAAGGGACAAAAACTTTGTTATTACAAAAAGAGCAAAATTAAACTCACCTTATCATACATCCTGTTTAACAGCCGCGGCACGACAGGGAAGATGGTTGGACGCAATGCTTTCATATCGTCAGATAAGAGACGAATATCTCCTTGAAAGAACCCAATTCGTCCTCCATGGCAATATACGACAGACTGATGGGGAGAAAAAGGAACACATGTAACCTCTTTGCTTTGAACTCCCATGGCAGAGCATCCCTCCCAAGCGCAGAAGTGCCTTTCCTGAAATTCTACTCTCGGTAGGGCAAAAACGGGGCTTTAGAAATACATAAACGTAACCATAAATTTTGCACTGAATAGAAATATACAGATAGTTCTGGGCACTTATCAGAACTGGCAATTCAGCGTCCACCAAATTTGGCACTGTTTCTGGAAGAACAAGGAACCAAAGCTTTTAGAAGGAATTTCCTTTCATCCCCTGCGTACGGGGATGGAGAAGTCTGAGTTATGGTCAGATTCTGGATCTGAACTTCTCCTCTGAAGCCCAGACCTACCATAGCAGCTCACAGCATGAGGACCTATTGTCGATAAAGAAATGCGCATTAAGAAACATTGTAAAACATACTGAGCGGCAGCTGATTTTTAGATGTTAATACTTTAGTTTTGTTTAAATACAACAATATAGACTACGTTAGCAATACAGTGCCTGATCCTGTATCCCAGAAATAGAAGCCCACTTCATAAAAGCTGCTTTACTTGCATGGAGACTACGGATCCAGAAGTTTCATACTCGGACAGAAAACAGGCCACTTCAATCAGATCAGAATAGAGCTGGATGTGCGGGATCGGGCAGGGCAGGGCAGGCTGCCTGCCATGAGCCAACTGGCAGCTGAAGCAGCAGCTCTGGTAGTCAGTAATACTGCAGAGGACTAGTCACTAACTCGGTAAAAACGGGCATTTTATCACTGGAGAGCATTTTGAGACCAGCATCGCTACCCTGCTTTTAGAGAGCAAGCAGGAGAAGGCATCCTCAGCAAAGCGCCCGTGGTGCCGGGAGCTGAGCCCAGCCTTCCTGAGCCCGGACCAGCGCGCTCACTTTTGAGCTCTCCAAGGGGTAGATGGAGAACATCAGCTCCCTTTGGTTAACTTTTCTCCCCCAAATAACTACAACAGTTAAAAATTCCTTAAGAGACACCTAAGCCTTTTTGTGCTACCCCTAAAAATCTGTAATACTAACCGGAGTGCTCTCACTGCTCTGTCAACCAGTTGGAGACTGTCTCTCCATCAACTGAAACCACAGGAATTTTATACATGTGATGTTCGTTAAACCCACATCACACTGCCAAATCTGTGTTTTACACTGCACACGCACATCAATTTTTAAAAAAAAAAAAAAAAGGAAAACATAATCAGTGTGCTCATGGGGAATTACAAATAACTACTAGAAATTTTTAAAGAATGTATCTGTATAATTTTAACTGTAACTTCCAGGAATTAATAACGTTGGCTAAAACTAGGAAAGCCAACACAGTGCTTGCTGTTCAGAATAATGTTGAAAATTATTTTTTAGCCTTTTCGAAAAAATCTTTATATTAACAAGGTTTTTCAGCAGAAAGGATAAACCTGAACATTCTTTGTTCGCCCGCCCCTTTCAATATGGCAACATCCTGTGAAATGGGGTTATTTCACATGTTTCTAATTCCCCCCCCCCCCCCCCCCCACAC